CTAAAATTCGAAAAAACTATCTCACCGACCGAATACAATGAAGCCTTTTATAAAATTGTCGAAATCGTCCAGAATCACGAGTATCAAGGAGAAATCGAAAAGGTTAGGAAAGGATCTACAATTGGTCCTAGTCTTCAGCGGTTGAACCCATTCATCCATGAAGACACAGGGACTTGGTGTAACTTTTCGTTGTTGCGAGTGGGTGGGCGACTAGCCAAAGCTCCTATATCATACGATGCCAAGTTTCCTCTGCTTTTGACTAAGCGCTCGCAATTCGTGCGAAGCTATATTCGTCATCTGCACCATTCGAATTTTCATGTCGGCCCACGAGCACTTGTGAGCATCCTTCGACAGAGCGTGTGGATAGTGAACGCTCAGGAGGTCTGCCGTCAGACAGTTCGATCATGTATGCGCTGTTTTAAATGCAATCCTCGATTGCTGACGCAACTCATGGGGAATTTACCCGCAGATCGACTCCGTGCTCTTCGCCCATTTTCAATTTGCGGCGTTGATTTTTGTGGACCAGTGCACACGACATTGAAAATTCGCGGAAGGCCCCCATACAAGTCATACATTGCAATGTTTGTTTGTATTGCGTACAAGGCGGTTCACCTAGAAATAGTTTCCGATCTAACCACTGACTGGTTTTTGTTGGCTTTCCAAAGGTTCGTCGGTCGCCGAGGATATCCCCAAGTCGTCCATTGCGACAACCGGACGAACTTCGTCGGAGCGAGCCGCCATCTCAGCGCTCTGCGGATCAGGCTCAAGGAGCAGGGAGACGCAATTCGCGACTTTGCGTCAAAAAACGGATGCGAATTTGCGTTCATACCGCCGCGAGCTCCTCACATGGGAGGGCTATGGGAGGCAGGTGTAAAAACTGCCAAGAGCCTACTTCTACGGGCGGTAGGCAGCGCGCTCCTAACCGCCGAAGAGCTCGCCACAGTCCTCGTCGGCATCGAGGCCATAATGAACTCGAGGCCGCTGGGAGCCATCAGCCAAGATCCAAGCGACGGCGAGGCCCTAACACCCGGGCACCTGCTGACAGGCGGGTCGCTCATCGCCCCCCCAGCACTGCGGACTCCGGACCAGGAGAGTTTCAGTTGCTTGCGGCGATGGCGACTTGTCTCGTCAGTCAGGCAAGCGTTTTGGCAGCGATGGTCCCGCGAATATGTCCTGGGGCTGCAATTTCGGGGCAAATGGCACCAGCGGCAACCGAACCTCGAGGAAGGAGACCTCGTCATCGTGGCCGAGGACAATCTGCCGCCTCAGGAGTGGCTCGTGGGGAGGGTCATCGCCACGCACGAAGGAGAGGACGGCATGGTCAGGGTCGTCGAAATAAGGAGCACTGGAGCAGTTTTTCGGCGGGGCATACACAAATTGGCGCCGCTCCCAATGTGTTGACGCCGATGCAGGCGTTCAACGGGGCCGGTGTTGCGTGACCTTCCATCCATGGCGGCGATTATTAGTTATTGATCTTAATTATGAAGTCTAGTGTAAGTTAGGCTAGGGCAAAGCGAGAGCGCAATAAAAGCTCACTCTCTCGCTCTTGGCGAATTCGCCCCGCTTTGCCACCGTAGGTTAGCTAGAGTAAGAGATTTTGAATTGTGAAGGAAATATAGTTGTTCGCTAACATTGAAATAGATCGAGCGTATCCATTTTCGCCCCGCCGAATAAATAATTAAATTACAGCCACCCAAAGTTTTCGGTTAACTCATTAGAAAAACTCTTCTAATTTTTCACGTATTTTCAAATGATAAAAAAGGGTAAAGAATTGATTGGGAAAATGAGAGTTGTGTGTGGTAAACTTTATACTTATGAAGATCAATGCAATAATGTTTTAGATCACACGAAAAGAAAAATTGAAGACCTGGAGGAAAGTAATAAACTTTTCATGACTCAGGAGAATTAAAGAAAGAAGCGAGCACTATTTGAGTTTATGGGCTCACTTTATCAGATATTGTTTGGGATAATGGACGCAGGAAACAGGGAAACGTTGGAAGGAAATATGAAAAATGTATTAAAAAAACCAACATAACCTAGATGATTTAATTAATAAACCAACATCAGTGGTAGAGACAACGGTAAATATCCTCAAAAGAACTACCGAGGAAATAAATTTGCGCTAGAGTAGAAAACATTACGGAAGCATTAAAAGAAAGTTTTTATGTGTACAAAGAATCTATAAATTTCTTTATGGTTACAAAGCAACTACATAAGCTCCTACATAAGCGATAAAATTCAATCAGCAGTTATTACTCTACTGATAGGTATTAATAATGGTAGACTCAATTGACTAAAATGAAAGAAATCTCATTACAAACATTGGTGCTTCCAGGAAAAGGAACAGCCTATTAACAGCGAAAGGAATTTTTTGTTGATAACAAATTAATTCTGAATGTGAAGATTCCCCTGTTTGGTAGACACGCATCCCATTTGTTTAGGATAATTCCGATGCCGGTTGAGCATGAACAAAAATTGGTCAAAGTAAATTTCAGCTCCAAGTATTTAGTATATAACTTCGAAATTGATTCCTATCATTCGCTGAATGAAGCCACCTTGAACAAATGCCGAAAATGGAAAACGAATAGAAGAGTATGCGAAAGTAGTTGGCCTTGGAGCAATGCCAATGATAATGCTTGTGAGATAGCTACTTTCAAAGCAAGAGGTAATTCAAATTGCGTTTATAGGAAGATAGCAGAGACAAGGTAATTTTGGGTCGAATTAGAAAGGCGGGGTAGTTGGCTCTTCAAAGTTTCAGTACTAATTCAATGTAGTAGCTCAAATCAAGAACTAATTGATCTTCTGCAAGAAGGAATTTTAACAATAATACATGGTTGTACTGTGCGAACCGATGATAAAATACTAGTACCTCACCACAGTATCTAAACATAAAACTACTAGCCAATTTCATCCTTTTATATAAGTAAAATACCAAAAACTGTTTGGAATCCATTAACAGTACCACTAATTTATTTATTTATTTTTTATTTAGTCGGAAGTCGGAATCATAATAATAATAGTATTAATAATCTATGCCATAAGAAGAAATAAAGTAAGTTCACAAGGTTCAAAAAGGTTCACAAGAATCAAAATACAAAACCATGACACTCTCTGCCCTTTGCAGAATGTTCAAACATGAACATATTATCGTCAAAACCATGCCACTTTCGGCCCCTTGCAGAATGTTCAAAAATAAACATATTATTGCACACTCATGTATCCAAAAAACTGATCTCTATAGAAATCACACAAAGTAGATAAGTCAAAACTGTTCGGGTGTCAACAAAGATCTGCAACCCATTAAAAGATACTACAACAAAACACAAGTGGAAAAAACACAACCAATGCAGTCCTAAAATAACACTAATGGAAGCATGCACTCAAATAGACACCCGCAGTAAAATGTATCCATTGCGTAGGTCTAACGATAATTATAGAATACAAAATTTTACAAAATAATAAAACTTTTTTGCCCAATTTATCGCCTTCCAGAAATTATAGAAATAAAACTATTATTCAAATATTTTTAATAGTCCCGCTTATTCCCCAGCGCTGGGTTAACCGTAATTTCGCTTAAAAATGTTTTGCAGCCCATTTTCGATCACTTATGAACCAATACACTTGAACAAAATCAGCAATCAGCTTGCTGAAAAAACAAACATGCTTGATCGATCAAACTAAGCTGAGCTGATTTCAGCCCTAAGGGCTCGCGCACACTGTAGCTGAAAGCGGAGCTGAAAGCGGAGCTGATAGCTGATTTATAAGCTCTGAAAAAACAAACACACTGCACCGGTGCAAGTGCGCACATTGCAGACTGAGCTGAGCTGAAAGCTGAAAAAGCACGCTCCTCCGCTTTCAGCTCCGCTTTCAGCTACAGTGTGCGCGAGCCCTAAGGGCTGAAATCAGCTCAGCTTAGTTTGATCGATCAAGCATGTTTGTTTTTTCAGCAAGCTGATTGCTGATTTTGTTCAAGTGTATTGGTTCATAAGTGATCGAAAATGGGCTGCAAAACATTGTTAAGCGAAATTACGGTTAACCCAGCGCTGGGAAATAAGCGGGCTTATTAAAAATATTTGAATAATAGTTTTATGTCTAAAATTTCTGGAAGGTGATAAATTGGGCAAAAAAGTTTTATTATTTACCATTTTCATATGTCAATAATAAATATAATATACTATGTCCTCAAGTACAGCAAACGCTCGAAAGACATCACAATGTTTATTATTATACAAAATAAATAATAATTGAAAAAAGTAATAATAATTCGTAAAATAAAAGTAATACGAATAAAAACTCAACGGAAATATGGTTAAAATACACGTAATTTAAAAATAAAACCAAGAAAACTTCCGTCTGGCTACTGTACGTGCTGTGAAGTAATAATTCATTAACAATATAATAATAATAATTATAATGCTATCTATTGATGCCACTTAAGGAGATAGACAAAGGGAGGCAGTGGTTTTCAGCTTTCAGCAATCAGATCAGCCGACAATGTACGCACCTGCAAGCTGATTCTGCCTGAGAAAAGCTCTCAGATCAGCTGAGCTTTCAGCTTTGATTTCAGCTCCGCTTTCAGCTACAGTGTGCGCGAGCCCTAACACTTTGCAGCTTAAGTTTACTGTCCATGATTGTCCGGACAGTAATAACAATAATTCTCATATTAAATATATAGGTTCTCGTATTTTGAAAACTGCGGATGCCATAGATTTTCGCTTTTGGGGCATGGAACAAATTTGAAATACACCTGTGTTTTTATGATCACAGGAGGCACACATCTGCTCTAGCTCTTTGAGATCTAGGCGCTCATCAGGACGGATTTGCAGACCTGTCTATATCCACTCTTTCATTAATGATGATTAAGAATATATACAAATTTGCGGTCAGAAATGCTTCCTTCTGGCTACATTTCCACGAATATAATATACATCTGTACTCTTTTAGCATTGGATAAAAGAAAACCTTTTTTTTTTTTAATTTTATAGATAGAAAAATCATACCACTATTTCACGCTCCTGCTCATCCCCCTTGCATTTATATTCCTTTAGAAATATTTCTAGCTCCTTGTTTCGTTCTAGTAACGTTTTTCCAAGCTCGGCAGCAAGCTGCAAATCTGCAAAGAATCCAAGAAAAGTTATTTGGCTCATAAGAGAGAGTTTCAAGTCACGAATTTGTAAACAAAAAATGTATATATATAAAAGCAGTTCGTATTAGTTACGCCATTTATAACTCAAGAACGGCTTAACCGATTTGGCTGAAAATGGGTGGGGAGGATAGGATTTTATCCCGTTCGACCGCGTTCCCGTGTGGTCAAATGATAGAAACGTCAGCACAGTAGGCTGGGTGTCACAGGCACCGGCTGAGTTTTTCAAAACGTGAATCATTATTTGAATTTTGAATCAAAACAGAAACGTGTACGCGTTTGATATATATTCGTGCTTTTTTGTTTGGATTTTTTATACCCGATACTCAAAATGAGTATCCAGAAGGAATCGTATGTATATATAATATATAATCGTAAAGTATATATATTCTTGATCAGCATCAATAGCCGAGTCGATTGAGCCCTGTCTGTCTGCCCATCTGTCCGTCCGTCCGTCCGTCCGTCCGTCCGTCCGTCCGTCCGTCTGTCCGTCCGTCCCCTTCAGCGCCTAATGCTCAAAGACTATAAGAGCTAGAGCAACGATGTTTTGGATCCAGACTTCTGTGATATGTCACTGCTACAAAAATATTTCAAAACTTTGCAGCGCCCACTTCCGCCCCCACAAAGGACGAAAATCTGTAGCATTCACATTTTTAAAGATACGATAAAACCAAAACACAGAAACGTAGAGGAAGACTATATGTTCTAGAGCGTAAAATCTCAACCAGATCGTATAATTATTATAGCCAGAATCAAAAACACAATTTCATTTTTTCTCGCTCTGTCTCTCTCTAACACACAGGTTTCATGGTCGGTTTTGCCAATTGCAAAATATGAGTTCAAGGATCTCAGAACCTATAAGAGCCAGAGTAACCAAATTTGGTATCCATACTCCTGTGATATCGGACCTTGACCGTTTCGTGTCCAAATTTCGCCACACCCACTTCCGCCCCCGCAAAGGACGAAAATCTGGGGCATCCACAAATCTCAGAGACCATTAAGGCTAGAATAACCAAATTTGGTATCCGCACTTCTGTTAGATCTTACTATAAAACGTATATCTCAGAATTTCGCCCCACCCCCTTCTGCCCCCGCAAAGGACGAAAATCTGGGGCATCCACAATATTGCACATTCGAGAAAACTAAAAACGCAGAATCATAGACAATGACCACATCTATCAGATTGTAGATAGGTAGTTCTTATAGCATTGAGCATTAAGAACTGAAAAGTTTGACCGAGCTACACCGAAGCCTACACACGTAACATAGGCTTTGGTTAGAGTAAAACATTAACGCCTAGATCTCAGAGACTATTAAAGCTAGAGCAACCAAATTTTGTATCCACACTCCTAAGATATCGGACCGAGACGAGTTTGTTTCAAAATTTCGCCACACCCCCTTCCGCCCCCGCAAAGGACGAAAATCTGGGGATATTCACAAATCTCAGAGACTATTAACGTTAGAGTAACCAAATTTGGTATCCGCACTCCTGTTAGATCTCACTATAAAACGTATATCTCAGAATTTCGCCCCACCCCCTTCTGCCCCCACAAAGGACGAAAATCTGTTGCATCCACAATATTGCACATTCGAGAAAACTAAAAACGCAGAATCATAGATAATGATCATATCTATCAGGTTGCTGAATTTGGATCAGATCATTTTTATAGCCAAAGGGAACAAATCAATTTGCACTGGCTACGCAGCGCCCGACGTCACGCTCAGACTGATTTTCTGTCTCTCTCGCACGCACTCTTTGTCGTGTCGTTCAATATTAGCAGCGTCTGCCGGAGGAGAGCCATACTGACTAAGTATCGGGTATAAATGTAGAGTTGCGGTCTCCGCAGCAACTCACAACGTTCCCCCTCGTTTTGTTTAGGGTAACGGTGACATATTTCGCACTTTTGCTCGTTTACATGCATGCATCAGTCTGCTAGCCATTTTATTTAAGGCCACGAGATGAGTTGATAAGTGTTGCTCTTGTAAGGCACTTTGAGCGAGTTGTTGTAAGACTGTTTGTCGGTATATCTGCTGTGTAGATGATATACAGTGTCGGTCCAAGCACGCTAGCCTGTACTTGTGCACTGATGTCATACAAGGCACAAAAACTTTTTACAATGCTCTTGGCACATTTTTTGATTCTTGTGACCCGCTTTCTTGTCCGATTAGATCTGAAAAACCCCCTTGGTTTACCAAAGAGTTATCCAGTCTAAAAAACTTAAATCAAGATCTTATAAAAAATTTCAAGAAGTGGGCTCTCCTACTACTCACTCTCGTTATGTAATAGCTCGGTCAAACTTTTCAGTTCTTAATGCTCAATGCTATAAGAACTACCTATCTCGTTGCAGGATACGTTTTTCTCAGGACCCTAAACAGTTTTACTGCTTCGTAAACAGTAAGCGTAGAACGTCCGCACACCCATCCTCGCTATCATTTTGTAATACGTCGGCAAATAATGATCAGGCAATTGCCGATCTTTTTGCCCAGTTTTTCCAAACCACCTATTCTGAGGAAAGCTACATCTAGGCCCCTTCACACTCTTTATTAATGACTTGCCTTCAGTATTAACATACTCTCGAGTACTTATGTATGCGGATGATGTTAAACTCTGTGCCCAGTACAAGGACATTTCATTTCATTCTCGCTTGCAATCCGATCTCAATAGCTTTCAGTCATGGTGTTGTGCAAACTTGTTACAGCTTAATGCTGCGAAATGCAAAGTTATGACATTTCATCGTTCTAGCCCTTTGGTTGGCTCCCTACACCCTATTTGGTGGTTCTCTTGAGAGAATTACCCTGGTGGATGATCTGGGTGTTATGTTAGACCCCAAGTTAAAGTTTTCGGAACACATTTCTACCATGGTAAATAAGGCCATGGGCGTGCTTGGGTTTATAAAGAGGTGGTCAAAGGAGTTTGACGACCCCTATATTACAAAGACTCTCTATACCTCGCTTGTTCGTCCGATCTTAGAATACGGCTCCTGTGTATGGTGCCCTCAGTACAAAGTACACCAGGACCGTATAGAATCAGTACAGAAAAACTTTTTACTCTTTGCTCTGCGGGGCCTTAACTGGGATGCGGGTGTAAGACTCCCATCTTACTCTAGTAGACTACTATTAGTAAACCTTCCATCCTAAGTTAACCGTAGAAAAATGCTTGGTGTGATATTTATGCACAACTTGATCAGGGGTGACATAGACAGCCCTGATCTGTTGAGCCGCATAAACTTCACGATTCCTATTAGACTGACTAGAAATTTTATACCGTTGTTCCTTCCACTTTGTAGATCGAATTATTCCTTGCATGAACCGTTTAGGGTCTTATGCTCGGATTATAATTCCCTCTACCTTATTATATCCAACACTAATTCTCTTCCTCTTATTAAATTATTAATCCTTACACACCTTTCTATTATTTAGTAACTGCAGTGGTATTTGTATTTTGATTGCATGCTTAGTTTCTTAGTAAGTTTAGTGCTAATTTTCCTCGATTGTTAGTCTAATAGCAATCTTTCTTGCCTGTTCGCGTTTGGTTCGGCTACGCACCGCGCGTCATGCGGCAGCGCCCCTCGGTCGGTTGGGCGGGAGGAGGGCTGCGTTTTGCCTGGGATCCGCGCGTAACAGCCTTCTGCTGGTGTCACACGGGCCACTTGACGGTGCAGTAACTGCATCGCCTCTTGAAAGATGCCGTCATTGCATGTCAACGTCCAAATATTATGCAATTGCCGATCTTTTTGCCCAATTCCTCCAAACCACCTATTCTGAGGAAAGCTACTCTGGTCATCCGTACCCATACGGTTTACCGAGGTCGAACGGCATTTTCAGTTCCTTTGTTAAATGAATGTTCCCTACTTCATGATCTTCGACTAGTTAAGCCGGTAGTTTACTCAGGTACTGCGCCGAGGCCCTGTGTTGACCTTTGCTTAAACTATTCACCCTGTCCATTGATTCCTCTTGCTTCCCCCCGATCTGGAAGGAATCGTTTATAATTCCTCTCCATAAAAAAGGTAGCAAGTCTGATGCAAATAATTATAGAGGTATAGCAAAGTTATCCGCTATTCCCAAAATGTTTGAGAAGGTATTAACTCCACACTTGCAACATCTTTGCAAGTCACTTATATCTCCCACTCAGCATGGATTTATAAGGCGGCGATCAACCAGCACGAACTTGTTAGAGTTTACCTCTTTCATTATTAAAGGCTTTCAAGGTAACTTACAGACGGATGTTATTTACACCGACTTTAGTAAAGCATTCGACTGTGTAAACCATTCCCTTTTAGCACATAAACTTGACCTTTTAGGGTTTCCGCCCAACCTCCTGATATGGATTTCTAGCTATCTTTGTTCTAGGTCTCAAAGAGTCCTCTTCAAAAACTCTCTTTACCAGTAAAGGTTTCTTCAAGAGTACCACAGGGCAGCCATCTAGGCCCCTTACTCTTCACACTCTTTATTAATGACTTGCCTTCAGTATTAACATACTCTCGAGTACTTATGTATGCGGATGATGTTAAACTCTGTGTCCAGTACAAGGACATTTCATTTCATTCTCGCTTGCAATCCGATCTCAATAGCTTTCAGTCATGGTGTTGTGCAAACTTGTTACAGCTTAATGCTGCGAAATGCAAAGTTATGACATTTCATCGTTCTAGCCCTTTGTTGGCTCCCTACACCCTATTTGGTGGTTCTCTTGAGAGAATTACCCTGGTGGATGATCTTGGTGTTATGTTAGACCCCAAGTTTAAGTTTTCTAAACACATTTCTACCATGGTAAATAAGGCCTTGGGCGTGCTTGAGTTTATAAAGAGGTGGTCAAAGTAATTTGACGACCCCTATATAACAAAGACTCTCTATACCTCGCTTGTTCGTCCGATCTTAGAATACGGCTCCTGTGTATGGTGCCCTCAGTACAAAGTACACCAGGACAGTATAGAATCAGTACAGAAAAACTTTTTAGTGGACTGCTATTAGTA